TATGATGGAAGATTGGGTTAAATTATGGAAAACTGACTTAAAATTTATAGATTGTTCCCTATTGAAGGAGAATTACATGAAGATGATGTACAGATGGTACACGACAGCAGTGCAGTTAGGGAAAATGTACAAAACTAGTTCAAATATATGTTGGAAGTGTAAGGAAAAGGAGGCGACATTTTATCATATGTGGTGGGATAGTAATGTAATTTCAAAAAAATTGGGAAATGATATACAACGAATTGAAGAAAATGTTCCATTTAACATTTAAAAAAACCTGTTAAAAAATCTGAAGCATTTTTGTTAGGGATTGTAGGGAAAGATATGCCAAAAAAGCTGAAAAACATCTTCATGTATGTGACAACAGCAGGAAGAGTTCTAATCGCACAAGGATGGAAGACTGAAGAAACCCCAACTAAAGAATCATGGCAAGAAAAATTGATGGACTATGCAGAACTGGCAAAACTGACATATAAGCTACGGGACAAGGATAACTGTGACTTTAAAGATGAATGGGAACCCAAAGTATGTGAAGACGCAACAAAGCGAAATGGACTCCTTGGCTGGCTTTGAATAAACATTCACAAACTTTTTGGGCAACAATTTTTTACTTTTTGAATGTTGTCTAGATTTCTACAACTGATTTAGGGTATTTTTGCACTGCTGAATCAGGAAATGGCATCCGTTTCTCTTCATCACGTCAGGTTTACTGTAAACTGAATGGTGGGCATTGATAAAGGTAAGTACACGTAAATTGCATGTTGCTTCACCATTTTTCAAACTTCAGGGCTTGAACTTCCGTTTCTTGGAACTCCAGGAATGCTCAGTGGCAGGGAGGTCTCTCTTCAGAGTCCAACAGTAGTCAGCCATCATGACTGCGTCCCAGCGACCCTGATACCTGGTCTCCTGCTCTTTCATGTCCTGATGGAATCTCTCCCCCTGCTCATCACTCATTGAACCCAGGTTCTCAGGAAACCGGTCCATATGTGAAAATAGGTAGTGCATCCTGACGCTCATGTTGCAGCCCAGGTTTCTGAAAGCAGTCAGCATGTTGTTGACAAGTTCTGCGTAGTTTCTGGCCTTATTTTTGCCAAAAAAGTTCTTCACTACCAGAACAAATGCCTTCCACGCTTCCAGTTCTACTTCGGTCATTGAGTTTCCGAACTCTGGATCTCTGATGAGCTGATGGATCTGAGGACCGTCAAAGACGCCAGCTTTCAACTTCTCCATGGTCAATCCTGGAAAAGCCTGGCACAAGTAAGTGAAGCAGTCACCATCCTTGTCCAGAGCCTTGGTGAACTGCTTGATTAAGCCAAGCTTGATGTGCAGCGGTGGGTAGAGTATTCTGTCTCTGTCCACCAGAGGGTCGTTGATGACGTTCCTTTCTTTGCAAGGCACCAATTCCTCCCGCACAGGCCAGTCCTTCTTCGTGTAATGCTGAGCACGGTCCCTACTATCCCACATGCACAGAAAACATGGATACTTGGTGAAGCCAGACTGTTGTCCCAACAAAAAGTTCACCATCTTCAGGTCAACACAAATAAACCACTTATGCTGATCATGACCAATTTTCTCCAGCACATACTTCACCGCTTCATAGTTCTCCTTCAGTGTAGACGAGTGAGCCAGGGGTATAGAGGCAAACCGGTTGCCGTTGTGCAGCAGAACACATTTCAGTGATCGCTTGCTGCTGTCAATGAACAGTCTCCAATCTTTGGGTTCATACTGTGGCACTCCAAGCTTGAGCAGAAGCTGTGCAATATCTGCACAGTACACCAAGTCCTTCTCTTCCGAGAAAAAACGGAGGTACTCTTGATGCCTGTTGCGGAAGAAGCTGATGCGAGCACTGTCAGAGAGGAGGTTTTTCCCCTTCAAATTAGTCATAAGTTGGCGCATGCACGGGTGGAGTTTCCCATACACGTCGTGGGGCAGCTGCCCCATTAACTTAGTTTTGATCCCCCAACTTTATGCTTTGCCGCACCAATTTATGGAAGATTTCGAGGTTTTATGACTTCAAACTGCTCCCTTTTCGACATAATCACCCAGAACTAACGGACCTGAATACTTCTTCTCATTAAAATAATCATTTCCAATCAAAACAGTTATTCGACATGGCATTTTACCCCCACCAACTTCTAAAATGCTTCACACAAGCAGACATGTGAACAAAAATGTAAAAAAAACGACATGTGGCCATAGCTCAAAAACTTGACCTGATTGAGCAAAACCAATGTGATTTTTAGATTCAGCGCATCAGATTCGTCCTAAATCAACTGAAAAAACGCAGACAACAAATTTGTTGTTGACCAGTGGTTGGATTTTGGATCCTATTCAACTCAGTACATAACAGCCTTCAAATCACTTCTGCTCCTTGCACTGAATAAACTCAGGTGCAGTACGTTTCTTGAGCTTAGATTTCTGTTAAGAGACCGCTGACACTTTTACACGACTACACGCCCCAAGGTTGGTAGGAAGGATGAATCTTCAGTGGGAGATCTGCTCAGTTGTCTGCTGGGTCCCGTCTGGGGGACAGCCTGTCCTTTGGGTTGTTGGGAATGAATTCAGCCACGGTCTGGGGGGGGGGGCATGTGTTCTTTCCCCATGAGCTCAAGCGTGTGCTGGGTGAATCCTCTGCAAAGGACACCCCCTTCCATCGCTGCTTTCTAGCAGCACTTGTCATGGCAGACTAGCATGGCCTTTCTTAATGGCGCTGCAACTTGCAAAGCTCATCAGGAGCATAACGGGGCAATGGATTAGGCACCTCTGAGAAGCCCAGAAATGCTGCCTGATGGTTAGCAATGAATAATCTAGCACAGTCCTTCAAAGGAAGTCCCTATTATTCCCATTTGACAGATAAGAACATACAGTGGAATCCAAACTAAGCATTTTGAGTTTAGAACTCAAAACCAAGTTAATCATGGCCAATAAAAATGGGATTTAAGGGCAACAAGTAACAGCGCAGTTGTCGGCGTGTCTAGCTAGAGGGGTGTCTTCTTGAATTTGATGGGTCTTACTCACAGGTACTGGGATACGGGTGGCGCTGTGGGTCAAACCACAGAGCCTAGGACTTGCGGATCAGGAGGTCGGCGGTTCAAATCCCCGCGACGGGGTGAACTGCCATTGCTCGGTCCCTGCTCCTGCCAACCCAGCAGTTCAAAATCATGTCAAAGTGCAAGTAGGTACCACTCCGGCGGGAAGGTAAACAGTGTTTCCGTGCGCAGCTCTGGTTCACCAGAAGTGGCTTAGTCATGCTGGCCACATGACCCGGAAGCTGTATGTCAGCTGCCTCGGCCAATAAACGAGATGAGCGCCGCAACCCCAGAGTCTTCCACGACTGGACCTAATGGTCAGGGGTCACTTTACCTTTACCTTTTTACTCACAGGTAACTCGCATCACAGAGAAATAGATACCTCTGGCAGGGCTTTAGGGCGAGTTCCTGGAAAATTTGAAACTGCCCTGTCCGATTGGACCAAGCTCCATTTAGCCCAGTGCTCTGTCACTGATGGTGGTCAGCCAGGGCATGAGGGTGGTGGGTTTTGTCCCCACCCTCAGCAAGGATGGGGAAACCCAAATCTTCTCAGGCTCTGTACTCAACGTACAGTGAAAGCACATGATTTCCCCCAAAGACTTCTGGGAAGTGTAGTTTACCCCCTCAAAGAGCCACAATAATTAACAAACTGCAGCTCCCGTGATTCAGCTGGAAGCTGAATCTTTTTCTTCAGTGCTGGAGATGGGACAATGTTCTCTCCTGCACCTGAAGGCAGCAAGCCAGCTTGGGGGTGGCAGGCTGTGTTTGTCCTACGATGCCTCACCACTGTGTCCTCCAGCCCAGCATCTGCCCCTGAAGCAGCCACCTCACTCCCAATGACAGGGGTGGCCCTGGGCAATCCTGGCCACATGCCCTGATCTGTGCCAGGGCCCAAGAAAGCATTGCAAACAGAGATGCAATGGCTTGTATCTAGAGGATAATTGAGGCCATTGAGGATAATTAAGTGCACTTACAGATCATCATTATTATTTCACCATTTATCAACTGAGGGCCCTTGGAATGTAGGACAGGACTCTGTCCCAGGGAGCTCACATTCAGGTTTGACAGCGTGGGGAGAGAACAGCAGAGGGAGAGTTGGAAGCGGCAGGGGTAGGAAGACAGGGAGGTTCAACAAGGGCAGGGATTGGGAGCCTATGGACTGTCAGCTGGCAGTGGGAATGGGAAGCAGAGTCAGACCACATTCGGAAGACCTCTGGTTCCCCATCCCTGAACAAAAGCTTTGTTCGAAATATGGGCTTTGAAGCAGAACAGGTGTACAAAAGGGGGAAGGAGCAAAGAAAGAATTGAGGACTTCTAATGAGACCCAAAGTCATACAACCGGAAAAGTTGAGGTCACAAGCAGGCATTTCTCAGGAGAAAGATGATTCTGTGCCCCTTGAAATGTCCCCTGAATCAGTCAAGGCAAATACACCCATGGGATTCAGAAGCATCGCTGCCTCTGATGGTGGAGGGAGAGCAGAGCCAGCCGGACTAGGAGCCATTAGAGCTTCTCCTCCATGAATGTGTCTAGTCCGTCTTTCAGGCCACCCAGGTTGACATCTGATGTCTTTCCACAGGGAGGGAGCCACTGCTAAGCAGGCCCTTTGCCTGGTACCCTGTAGCTGAATCACCGGAGGAGGAGGACCTCAGTGTCCAGGCCAAGCGATGGGGGTGGAGACGCTCCATTGGGGCCGCCTTCAGATGTCTTCCAAAGCCTTTATACTTGCTTGTCTCCTTAGCACAGGGGTGGCATTACTCCATACCCTCCAGGATTTCTCAGAGGAAAATAGGCATGTCTAAAGGAAAATTGCATTCTTTGATCAAATCAGAAACCAGGACAGCTTCTGTAAATCCTGGAGGAGGAGCTTTGGTGCAGGGTATAAAAGGTTTCAGCCCTGGAAAAAGCTCCAGCTCAGCCCAGAAGGTTTTCTCCAGCAGCCGAGAGAAGCTCCCAGCCCACGGCCAGCCATCATGGAAACCGTCATGATGACAGTCGACGTGGACCCCTGGGATGATTTTATCCTTGAAAGGTAAGGCCAGGCGCTTGTTGCCTCTCTAGGCAGGTTGGGCAGAAACTCCTCTTTCCACCTGGATAATAACCATCCATGCCTCTCTTTTTATCCTTCCTTTCTTCCTTCCTTCCTTCCTTCCTTCCTTCCTTCCTTCCTTCCTTCCTCCTTCCTTCCTTCCTTCCTTCCTTCTCTCCAGCTTGTTGATCGTCTTCCCCTGGACCCGGAATTTGATCATTAACATCTGGGACGTCTCTGACCCTGCCCCCTCATTAGGAACCTCTCCAGCCCTCTTTGCACGAGGTCAAGGAGGCTTTTCCGAGCTGCGTGAACTGCTCTGCGACAAGCTCCACGTGGACCCCCTCAACGTCAGGGTGAGGCTGCTCCCCCGCCCCAAGGGGCTGCCTGGGGGTGGGCTGGGGGGTGGTGTGTGTGTGTGTGTGTGTGTCACTCCGGGTGGCTTACAGGACATAAAACATGGTAAGACATTAGACATTTCCTGATACAACAAGGTTGCATTCAGATTTCAGTTGTTCATTTCCTTGACATCTGGTGGGAGGGTGTTCCACGGCACGGGGGCCACAACCGAGAAGGCCCTCTGCCTGGTTCCCTGTAACCTCACCTTTCACAGTGAGGGAACCACCAAAAGGGTCGCTTTCAAAGGTAGCCCCACATAGAGTGCATTGCAGTAGTCCAAGTGGGAGATAACCAGAGCATGCACCACTTTGGCGAGACAAGCTGGGGGTGGGGTCTCATCCTGTGGACCAGATGGAGCTGGGAGACAGCTGCCCTGGACACAGAAATGACCTGTGCCTCCATGGAGAGATGTGAGTCCAAAATGACTCCCAGGCTGTGCCCCTGATCCTTCAGGGGCACAGTTACCCCGTTTAGGACCAGGGAGTCCCCCACACCCGCCTGCCTCCTGTCCCCCCAAAACAGTACTTTTGTCTTGTCAGGATTCAGCCTCAGTCTGTTGAATCTGCTGTGGGATCTGCCCCCTGGCAGAAGGAGTCACCCCCTCTTTTCTCTTCCAGCTCCTGTCGAAGTCCTCATCACCCACCCCACCCACCCCCTTTGGACAGGAATTCACCCCTGCTTACCACCATGCCTTCCACAAGCTTTTCAGGGTGGTGGCTCATGCGCTGGCCTGCCGGTCCCACTGAGACGCTTGACCCTCTAATAAATCCTCCCTCTGCAATCTGACCTGGCTTCCTGTGTCTCCTTCTCTGGGACAGAGGGAGGGGACAGGCCTGGGGGTGGGGGGTTAGTTGGGGGGCGTGGAAAGGGGGGGTCTTCTCTGTCACTCAAGAGGCATCATTAAGCATCAGTGGGGGTTTTTGGGTGCTATGGCATTTTGCCCCCACCCAAGCTGCAGTGCTTTTCAGAGCCAGAGACCCCTGCTGTGTCCCCAAATCCTTTATCCTCAAAATTTCTGGCAAGGTCCCCCCCATGCTCCCAGGGCCCCCCCTGGTCTCATTGGTTGTCTCCCCACCCATTTCTTGGTATTTGCCCCTGGTCTGTTGCCCTCTCTGTTCTTCCTACTCTGGAGAAATTGGGGGTGAGAGACTCAGAGAGGGATGCGGACCCTTCCCCTGCTCTGGATTCCATCCCTCTGAATAAGGGGTGGGGGTACCAACATGGCCACCCAGGGAGACCCCCCCAAGGGCCACTCCCCCCCCACAATGCCCCTCCCTGCCTCTTTCCAGATGGGTGTCGGGGACGGAGGTGCCTCTTAATCGGCAGGGAGAGGGGGGAATTCATTTCCTTTCATTCATTTATTTGTTTATTAAATTGGGAGGTCCACAGGATGAAATTACGATATAAAAACACAAAACACATTGTTATGTACTGAGTTGAATAGGATCCAAACTGCAGCAGTCTGATTGGTCCTAGAACAATGCAGCAGTATGATTGGTTGGCAGGAACCACCCAATCATGCTCCAGATAGAAGTGAATCCACAACCTGATTGGCTTACAGTAGAATTCCGGAATTAGCCAATCATGTGCAGCCCATTGTGTAAATAATGTATATAAAGCAGATACTGTGAGGGGACTTTCATTCATTCCTCCTCACCACTATGAGCTGAATAAAGAGCATGAAATCACTTTGCGACTCTGAGTATATTTCACTGGCGACGAAGGTGGGATCCCGCTGAGCTGACGGCCACACACAGCACCGCAGCACCGCCACCTGCCGCACCGCTGCCTCGCACCGTGTATCCAGGCTTCAGCTCCGGGACACAAGGAACTCAGAATGGCAGCCGACAGCAGCTTCTCGCCGTTCAACCCAGCATCTGGAGACTGGGAAGCGTATGCCTCCCGTTTCACCTTCCTCCTAGAAGCCAAAGGGGTCACCGACGAAGAAGATGCCAAGAAGAGGGCGATATTCTTCAGCGTTTGTGGAGAGGAGATGTTTGAAATCGCCCGGGCTCTCCTTGTGCCTGAAGACGTCGCTACTGTTCCATACAAAACAGTAATGTGGGGCACACATAATGAAGGGGCACTTTTCGCCGCAGCCCTCAGTGGTGGCTCGTCGAAATGCCTTCTACGCAAAGCGGCAAGGCCCTGGGGAAACCATAACTGGGTTTGTGACCTCTCTCCGCCAAGCCGCCTGGTTCTGCAACTTCTCAGAGCTGGAGAACATGCTTCATGACCACCTCGTCGGTGGCCTGAAGGATGAGAAGCTGCAACAACGTCTCTACGCTAAGAAGAACCTAATGTTCCAGGTCGCTCTGGAGGAGGCCCTGGCAATGGAAGCTGCCGAGAGGTCGATGCAAGAGGCACGGCCAAGCCTGCCGTCCCAACCGAGGGTCCACCACGAAGACCTCACCGACGACTCAGGATCCGACAGGGAGGAGGTGCACCGAGTACAGCAGCGCACTCAAGCAGTGCACAGACCACAGCTGCCTTGACGAGAACTGCGCAAGATGCAGGGAAAGTCACGAGAGGAGGACCTGCCGTTTCCGCAATGCAGAGTGCAGGCAGTGCAGAAAATCGGGACACATCGCCTGGGTGTGTTGGGCTCGGCCACCCGACGCCAGGCATCAGATGACCAATCCAAGAGCCCCAGGTCCTGGGGCCCAACGCACCAAGGGAACTCGACGGAGCTCACGGACTTCCAGGTATACCAGTTGCCCCACCCCAACGTAGAGAAAATTTATGTAGAGGTACAGATAGAGGGGGCCCCATGCCGCATGGAGCTTGACACGGGTTCAACTCTATCCATAATCTCGGCAAGGACTTTAAGGAAACTGTGTCCTACTGGGGGTCCCAAACTCAGGCCGGCCCCATTCACCCTCTGGGACTTCCAGAAACGTAAGGTCCCCACAATGGGGGTGGGGACCTTCAGGGTGCAATACCGAGGCGGACGCGGCAACTGGACTTGCTTGTGGTCAAGGGCCCCCACATTAGCTTACTGGGATTGGCATGGTTTGGACCACTGGGGCTAGCCATCACCGGGTGAACCACACTACCTTACAAGTGGACGTGGACGCCATATGCAAGGAATTTCCAGGGGTTTTCGATGGGAAATTGGGACAGTATCCGCCCCCCCATTGCGCTACAGCTTGACCCCGCAGTACGACTGGTCAGGCTCAAGGCCCGCCGGGTCCCATTTGCCTTGAAACCCTGTATAGACGAGGAATTGGACCGGCTCGTGGAGCAAGGAGTGCTGGAGCCGGTGCCTAGTGCCCCCTGGGAAACCCCAATCGTCACACCCGTCAAGCCTAATGGTTCGGTCCGCATCTGCGCAGACTACAAATGTACCATAAACAAGGCCCTCACGGCCCACGCATACCCAGTGCCAGTGGTCAGCCATGTCCTTGCCACCCTGGCTGGGTCGAAAATTTTTGGCAAGCTGGACTTGGCCCAAGCATATCAACAGCTGCCAGTAGATGAGGCCACAGCAGAGGCACAGACGATTGTGACGCACAGAGGAGCGTTCAGGGTAAAGCGGCTGCAATTCGGTGTCAGCGTGGCACCAGGCATATTCCAGAATCTAATGGACTCTCTCCTTAAAGGGATTCCTGGCGTCACCCCCTTCTTTGATGATGTGTTGATTGCTGGGCCCACACCAGAGGAGTTTGAGGACCGCCTCCGCACCGTTCTGCACCGTTTCCAGACGGCGGGTCTCAAGGTGAAGCGGGAAAAATGTCTACTAGGAGTGCCTCAGGTGGACTTTCTGGGATTTATGGTGGACGCAGAAGGGGTCCACCCAACTGGGGACAAGGTACGGGCCATTTGTGATGCCCCAGCGCCCAAGAGCAAGACTGAACTTCAGGCCTTCTTGGGACTATTGAACTTTTACCATTCCTTCCTTCCCCACAAGGCGGCGGTAGCGGAACCCCTACACAGACTCCTGGACAAGCGGGCCCCTTGGGTGTGGGGCCAGCGCCAGGAGGCCGCATTCCAGGCAGTCAAGGACTTGCTTGTCTCAAACTCGGTCTTGGCACACTTCGACGAGAGGCTGCCGGTGGTGCTAGCATGCGACGCCTCGCCCTATGGCATCGACGCTGTCCTGGGACACCAACTCCCGGATGGAAGAGAGGTACTGGTGGCGTACTTTTCCCAGACACTCAACGCAACCGAGCGGAACTACTCGCAAATCGACAAGGAGGGTCTGGCAATCGTGAAGGGAGTAAAAAAAATTCCATGATTTCTTGTACTGGCGGCCCTTCACCGTGGTGACTGACCACAAGCCGTTGCTTGGCTTGTTTGCCCCCCGAAAAGCAGACCCCCCAAGTGCTGTCTCCTCGCGTCCTCAGGTGGTCAATTTTCCTTGCCAGCTACCAGTATGCACTGATTCACCGACCTGGGAAGGCGATGGGCCATGCGGATGCCCTCAGCAGGCTACCACTACCGGAAACAGGCCCTGACCCAGCACTTGCACAAGAGGTTATGAGCCTGGAGCTGCTTCCCGACCGCCCCATTCAGGCACAAGAAGTTGCACACCATTCCAAGAAAGATAGGGTCATCTCCCGGGTCCTGGACTGGGTGTGGAGGGGATGGCCCAGCAGCAGCCCCGGGCCAGAATTCGCCGGCTACACAACCCGCAAACATGAACTGTCGGCCCACAAGGGGTGCCTGTTATGGGGAAGCAGGGTCGTTGTTCCCCAGCCCCTCCGCAAAAGGGTCCTCACAGCCCTACACGAGACACACCCAGGGGTAGTAAGAATGAAGGCCCTTGCCAGGAGTTATGTGTGGTGGCCAGGGATCGACGGAGAGATAGAGGCCTGGGTCAAACACTGCCAGGCCTGCCAAGAATCCCGCCCAGATCCCCCAAGGGCCCCAGTCCAGTCCTGGGAGTCCGCCCGAGCACCATGGTCACTCCTGCATGTGGATTTCGCTGGCCCCTTTCAGGGGAAAACATTCTTCATAGTGGTGGACTCCTACACCAAATGGCTGGAAGTCGCACTGGTACCGTCCACTTCCACATCCGCAGCCATCCGGGTACTACGCAGGCTGTTTGCAACCCACGGGCTCCCTGACACTCTCGTCTCAGACAACGGGACTGCATTTACGTCAGGAGAATTCCAAACCTTCACAGCGCAGAACGCCATCCGCCACATCCGTTCGGCGCCGTTCCACCCTGCCACCAATGGCTAAGCAGAACGCATGGTGCGGACCACCAAGGACACCCTTCGCCGCATGACGCAAGGGGATTGGGAGTACCGCCTTGCCACATTCCTCCTAGCACAGCACAGCACCCCCAGCTCAACGACTGGCTGGAGCCCCGCTGAACTACTAATGGGTTGGTGCCTTGCAATCAGATTGGACCGCCTTCACCCCGATAGAGCTCAGGATGAGGTAGTGGTGGGGGAGGCAGGAACCCCCGGACCTTCAAGGCCCAGGACCCAGTGTACGCAAAGAATTTTGGGGCAGGCCCAGCATGGGTACCCGCCACAGTCACCAGGGTCACTGGCCCCGTGTCGTACGAGGTGCCAACGGATGGGGGGCAATGCTGGCGCCGCCACCGCGACCAGATACGGCGACGATTCCCGGGAGAAAACCAGGAGGAGGACAGGTCAGAGGAGTCCCAAGGGAACAGCGGGGCAGTGAGGCCCATAGAGCAGGAGGGGCCAGCAGGAGAGGCAGAATCAGTAAATACAGAGAGGACCCGCGAGGCCGAAAGGACACCGGAACCAGAACCGTGACTGAGCGAGCC